TAGTAATGATGATGGCAATAATGATAACGATAATAATGATAATGATTATGATAACAATAGTAATAATTACAATTATATAATTTATTACTATTGTTATTAATGATATGATAATAATGATTATGATAAGAATAATGATGATAAGAATAATGATAAGAATAATGATAGTGATGATCATGAATATGATTATAATAATAACAACAACAGCAATAATAAAACGAACGACAAAAACAAGTTACAGCACGACCCTCTCACGTGAAATTCAGCTCCGTCGCTATGGCATCGATAACCAAGAAGTCAATGCCAGAGACCGGGCCAGCCTCTTGATAAGGGCCGTCGTAGGCATCCAGGGGCGTGACTTGGAAGAAGGGCCAGTTGGGGACGACGGCGCCCTTCAGCTGCCGCCCTCCGAAGTCAGCGTAGACCCGTTCGAGGTCAGGGGTCAAGGGGGAGGCGAGAAAAGGGGTCATCTTGCCCGTCTCGTCGTTCCAGGTCACGTGGCCGGCGTACGCGAGGCTATTAAGAAGGTCGTGTGAATGGTTCTATTATGAGTATCATTATTATCATTATTATTATTATTATTATTATTATTATTATTATTATTATTATTATTGTTATTATCATTATTATCGTTGCTAACCGTGGCAATAGTATGTATCGTTATTGTTGTTATTGGCATTTCGTTTATTATCTTCATATTCTTATTCTATATTAGGTGATTGGTCATTAGTAGTAGTATATTATTGTTATTATCATATTGTTATCATCAGTATTGTTATTATTATTATTATTATTATTATCATTATCATTGCTATTATCATTACTATCATTAATATTATTATCAGTAGTAATAGTAGTATCATTACTACTACAACCACCTCTACTGTTACTACTATCATCATTATCATTATTATCATCATCATCAATTGTTATCCCCATCACCATCATCATTAGTAGTAGTAGTAGTATTGATATTATTAAAATTATTACTATTATCATTATTCTTACTGTTAGCATTATCGTCGTTATCGTTATCATTATTGTTATTATAATGTTGTTGTTATTATATTTTATTATCATCATTATTATTACTATTATTACTTCCATTATTGTTATTATTGTTATCATCATCATCATTATTATTATTATTATTATTATTATTTCAATTATCATCATTATTATTATTATTATCATTATCATCATTATTATTATCATTAATATTATTTCAACTATCATCATTGTCATTTTTACTAACATTATCATTACCATTGTCATTATTATTATTATAATCATCTGGATTATTATCATTATTATTATTATAATCATCTGGATCATTATCATTATTACTATTATCATGATTATTATCTTTATTAGCATAATCATTGCCATTATTATTGCTATTATCAGTATTATCATTACTATTATTATCATTATTAATGTTATTATTATCATTACTATTAGTATTATCATTATTATTACTGTTATTATCATCATTATGATCATCATTATTATCATTGGTAAATAATAATTATTATTGTCATTGTCATTATCACTATCATTATTACGATTATTTTTATCATCATTATTATTATTGTTATTATTATTGATATTATCATTATCTGTATCATTAGTAGTATCGTTATCATTATTATCATCATCGTCATCATCATCATTATGTCGACGATGATGATGATAATCATAATTATCATCACATTAGTATAGTTGATACTTATTCTTAATACTAATTCCATTGTTTACTACCATGAACTATCATCACCATAACATCACCGAGGCAATAGAAACCTAAGTATAGTGTCCTTGCACTCCGCACATAACACATAATGAATATTATCACAACACGTAGAGTTCAAATACAACATATAGTTAAGACACTCAAACGTGTGAGAATCTCGTGTGTCTGCTTTAAGGTGTAGTTCAGTGTACCCATGATGGAGCTCTGGGGTCGGATTCTCAAAAGAGCTTAAAGTTATGGCGCGCTGGAGGCCTTAACCGTCCTGCTGTATTTCCTTGTGTTGATTTCCCGCCCTCCGTAAAGCGCTAAAGGCGGCTCTCCCCCTGCCTTAACCTAAGGCGCCTTAACTCGTATCAATATAGCGAGTCCCTTGCTCTGTGTATGTGTAAGATCGCTCGGCCGTTAGTTAAAGGCGGCTTAAGGAGATACAGCGCCTTAGCACGTTTGAGAATCTGGCCCCTGGTATTTAACCTCGTTTCGTTTGGTCTCTTTCGTTTTGGATGCAAGACATGAGTAATAACGGCCTATTAAATCCTTTGTTAGGTTTCCCTTGTATAGATTTGATGATTATTAGACTATGGCTGTGTTTATTTCAGTTTTTTCTTTTTTTTTTAAGTGGGATATCTTACTTACCCTATTTTGTTTTTCACATCAACGTAGGAGGTTGATAGACGGTATGAGTTCGAAGAAGTCTGAGCAGCTAATGTTATCTGCAAAGACGGTTGTACTATGGTATACCTTTGCGTTATGTATATTTCATGACATGGTTAAACAATCAAAACCAAAAACAAATAAAACATATACGCCCTAGCATACAGTGTTTAGAATTTACACAGAAGTTTACACATTAAGGTTTTCCATTTTTGTAAACACTGATTCATCATTGATTTTCATTATTCATTTCACCTAAACTTTAAGCCGGTGGCACAGGCTATAAGTTCACAATCATTAGCTATTATTGGAAATACAGATTTAATAACGTATTTCATTAATCTATTAGCTGACTAAACGCACACAGAAACTGCATGCGAGTGCCTTACTGATGATGATGATTGACAGTTAATTTCAATTTCAGTTAATAACTATAACTGTCATGGTTATTTGGCATCGAATGACATTTGTTTCTCTTTCTGTCAGAAGCAAAACATCCGACAAGTGAAAAAAAAACGGATGTGGGAAAAACACGAGGACAATAGAGTTATTTTCAGTTAGAAATTAAAAGAAATACTTGTTATTTCCGCCTTTTCATTATTTCCTGTTTTTTAATTCTCTTACCTCCTTTGACACACACACTCTCTACTCCATTCTTTTTCTGTCTACCCTCCCTCATTCTTTCTCTCTCTCGTTCCTACAAGCTAGCCAGAAAAGAATGCAGGGTGTGTAGTTTACCTAGATCACATATATTGATACACTATATATCACAGCAGAGGTCGGCAACCTCTGGCACGAGTGCCAGTCTTGGCACGCAGGGCGCTTGTCTATGGGATGCCATGTGAATAAAAAAAAGTTAAACACCAGCAAAATAATATAAGAGAGTAGAGAGAGAGAGAGAGAGAGAGAGAGAGAGAGAGAGAGAGAGAGAGAGAGAGAGAGAGAGAGAGAGAGAGAGAGAGAGAGAGAGAGAGAGATCCAGATGTTTTCATACATGCAGCATGCGCTCAGCCCCCATCGCAGCAGGTTCACAACGGATCACTATGAGGGTTCTTTGAAGCTCAATGTGTCCAAATATTGATATAGTGAGTATAAATCTAAAATTATAAAGCATATGTATTTTTTGTTACAATGAATACTAAAAGCTACAGAAATATTATATTTGTTATACATGTGCAGGAAAATACATTTGGATGTACAGTGGTGAAAAAAAAAAAAATGGCACGCAAGGTTATTGATAAGGCCTTAATCATAAACTGACACATTATGCTCAAAAGGTTACCGACTCCTGTATCACAGTGTCCTATGTTTCAGACACATAGATATGTTATCTGAACAGGCTGTGTGGTTGATTAGGAATGGTCAGGTATTCGAGATTTTGAAGAGGTACAGGCAATTTGCACCAATATCATAAACATACCTGGCAAATATGCATAGGTATGTAGGCTGTCACTCCTGCTGAGACTATAATGTATCCTACTTTGCTGCTGATGACTGGCGTATGTTAGGCATCATTCTCTTGAAATAAACAACTGAACAACTGATTCTAGTCATCATTCTCTTGGACTGAACAACTGATTCCTCTCTCTAGTCATCATTCTCTTGGAACAACTGGTGCACTGCTTCTAGTCATCATTCTCTTGAAACACAAACATTCCACTGAACAACTGATAGTCATCATTCTCTTGAAACACAAACATTCCACTGAACAACTGGGCTACTGTCATCATTCTCTTGCTTGTCTTCTAGTCATCATTCTCTTGAAACACAACATTCCACTGAACAACTGAAGTCATCATGTTTGGCTCTTGAAACACAAACATTCCACTGAACAACTGATTCATCTCTTCTAGTCATCATTCTCTGTCTGATCTCTTCTAGTCATCATTCTCTTTGCTGAACAACTGATAGCTGGACTGAACAACTGGTCATTCTGGATTCCTCTCTTCTAGTCATCATTCTCTTGAAACACAAACATTTGACAACTGATTTCTCTTCTAGTCATCATTCTCTGGAACAACTGAAGTCATCACTGTTCTCATCTCTTCTAGTCATCATTCTCTTGCACTGAACAACTGATTCAAGTCATCATGCACTGAACTGGCTCTTGAAACACAAACATTCTACTGATTCATTCTCTTCTAGTCATCATGCTCAACTGAAGTCATCACTTGAAACACATTTGAACAACTGAAGTGTGACTCTCTTCTAGCTCTTGAAACACAAACATTCCACTGAACAACTGATTCTCTCTTCTAGTGACTCTGAAGTCATCACTGTGAACAACTGAGCAGTTCTAGTCTCTTGAACACACATTCACTGAACAAACATTCTCTCACGTTCACTGTTGCTTCATGCTCATTTTGCTAAATCATTTCCACTGAAACACTGTCATCATTCTCTTGAAACACAACATTCTACTGAGTCATCATTCTCTTGAAACACAAACATTCACAACAACTGAGTCATCATTCTTCAACTTGACACTGTCTCTTCTAGTCATCATTCTCTTGAAACACAAACATTCCACTGAACAACTGATTCCTCTCTTCTAGTCATCATTCTCTTGAAACACAAACATTCCACTGAACAACTGATT